AGCAGCTATCATAGCAGTCGAATTAGTGCTGATTTGATACTTTACTCCACCTTGAAAACTTCCATTACGATTGCCGAATAGCACGATAACATTAGATTCACCCAAAATAGTTGCTACCAAATCCAATATACCATCGTTATTTAAATCCGCCACTGCCACAGTATTTGTACCATTACCAACTTCACAAGGTACTTGAGTCTGGAATGTTCCATTTTCATTACCAAACAAAACACTGATGAAAGTGCTTCCATTATTAGATACTGCCAAGTCCAGTTTCGTATCATTGTTAAAGTCTCCCAATACCACAAATGTTGGTTGTTTTCCAACATCATACATCACTGGTGTCTGAAAATTTCCATCTATATCACCAATTAGTACACCGATGTTGTTACCACCTTGATTGACGAGTACCAGATCCAGTTTCAAATCATTATTAAAATCAGCAGATATCATAGAGATTGGATCTGTCCCAACGTCATACTGATATCTATATTCATAATTGTCATCTGGAAAATTAAGCAATATCAACACATTGCTGTCGAACCTATTTAACACTGCCACATCAATAACTGAATTATTATCAAAATCTCCGCACAAAGCAGAAATTGGTTCATTACCAACTGCATAGTACATCTGAAAATCCAATGTTCCATCTTCATTAATCTCCAGCACGCTAATTGTTCCATCTTCTTTATTAACTACGATAAGATATCTTGTTTTGTTACCACCCAACGTGCATAAAGTCACAAAAACTGGACCTAAGCCGGTATCAGCTGTTGTCGGCGTCAGATAGTTGCCGTTCGCATTGCCAACCAATATATCAATGCTTTGACCTCCATAGTTGAGAATCGCCAAATCAATGTATTTATCACTGTTGAAATGACCATACACTAAAGAAGCTGGAGAGCCGTCTATGTCAGAGATTGTCGAAGATGAAAAAGGATTTATGAACACGTAAGCTAGAAAAATAAAACAATTCAAATTCATAATTTGCTTAAGAACTTCGTTCTTTGAGTAGCTTAGTTTTTTTTACAAGACAATCAAAGATTCAAAAAACATTAATAGATGAGAGAGAATATCGAGATTGAAAATATCTTTCGTCGTTCAAATCCTATGTTTGTAAAGCGCTTGATCATTTCTTTAATTTTTCCTGATTAAAAAAATCAGAGACATGATTTCAAGGATTGAAGTTTTGTACATAAATGTTTTGAATGCATTCATATCCAATGCAGCAGCGAAGTGAATAATGCCATATGATGAATACTTGATAAGACATTGTCTAACTCGAGTCAAACACAAAAGTTTGACCTATGTTGGACATTGTGATGAACTGACGATCATGTCAAACAGTTTCATAAAATTTTTTTACCATAAAAGAATTGAAAGACAACAAAAAGCATGTAACAGAAATGTTTATTATTTTTTTACTCAGAAAGTCCAAACTATTTCCTAGGATACGATGGAATTATTCAATGTTTATAATAAAGAACAAATTGAAATCGGCGGCTTCTGTCAAGAATATTGATGACTTAAATTAAATCTTTTTATAACTTGTTCACGAAATATCTTCGTACTACATTAGAATTGATAAAATTTGGATTATTTTATTCTACACGTGTTGGACTGAAAAGGAAGAGTGAAATTGCAAATTGACAATACATTTTTTTTTCTAAGTTTCCATGTCGACTTGAATATCAACTTTTCATACGTTATTGGAGATTGTTACAAAATATACTTTCGTTACATTCTCAATCGATCGTCTTCGAATAGAAAGTTATGTCATAACTGGAAGTATGATCATTTGCCGAGTTTTCGAATGTTTTAAGCTCAAAGTTTTCTATAATATCAATGATCATTCAATAGATGCATATCTTTCAATTTGGCATAGATATGCGATCGATGAATATCTTGCTGCATATCTGAAGAGATCAGAAAAGCAGACTTTTAAGGTAGAAGTAAAGAAAGGAAAAGTATCACATTCGATTTAAAACTCAAATGGAGTATTTTTGATGTGCACACATATATTAGCTTGAAAAAGAACTAAAGAACATCAAAAACCGCATACATACGTGGCTCTTTATTTGCTGCTCGTGTCCCAAGAATAGCACCAATAACGGTTGCTACGATGCACATAGTCACCAATAAAGCCAATGGAATAACAATTCGCTTCTTGCGATACCATGGACGCCTAGATCATTTAATTAAAAGAAAGATCAGTCAAAATTATAGTTTGATAATAACAAAAACGAAACTCACGTGTTTTTTGGATATAAGCATGCGCCTAGCAATGAAAGAAAGAGTTAATTTCCAAAAAACGATAGAAAATACTCAAAGTACCTTCAAAAGGAGGCTGGAGTAGTGTTTCATTCGGTATGACCTGTTTTAAGTGGATAATATAAAGATCAGATGCTGGACTAAATTGCGATTGAACTATCATGTGAGTACCGGGCAGAAGCAAAATTTCATCTTCAGTGACAAAATGCGAATGAGCACGAATTGTTCGTCCATTGATGGCTTCAACAGAGAACAGTGTCCGTGCACCTGTAGTGCCCAAATACATTGTATTTTCAAGCACACTCAGTTCGGTTGTGGTTGATGAAAATGACCACCATGTCACTGGAGTACCAGGTGGAAATTCGGCACTCAAATTTTTAGTTACTCCTCTCCAGACAGTCAATGATGGAGAGCATGGTAATTTGACTAAGGCAGTCAAGAATAGTTTCATATACTTGAAATAAGGTCGAAGTTCTTCACGACTGCAGTTCTTCAATGTATAATTAAGCATTGAATAGAGACTTCGATGTGGCGATGTCCATTCGATCGTGTAAAGTCGGATGGCAGCGCTCTCATTAAATGTCAGTCCATCGGGTGGTTCTTCGGGAGTTTCTTCAAGTGCCATATTAACATAGACTGATAAATCGTGAAGAATATCAATCAGTGGAGCGCATGCATCGACGAGAGGTAACAATGGCTCTTCGGCGTACTCAATAATTGGAGCTTCATCTGTTCCAAGCTTTTCGGCTTCACTAGTAACTTGTTTATTTTCTTCCACGACAGGAGGTTGTGCAACTCGCTGTTTTTCGGTCTCATTATGACCAGATGTATAATCAACATTCCCATCTTGTACATATACATGACCTTGATTAACTCTTTCTTTTTCACCTAAGCTCGAAACCAGTTCGTTCAAGTCATTCATTGAGTCATTGATGATCTCGACATTTTTTCGAGTGACTTTTTTTTTACGCTTCTTTGGGACATTATCATTCACGTGTTGTGTATGTTGGTTTTCATTGTAGAAAGCATCAGGTATTACGTTTGGTAGATGATTCATGTTTAAGTTATTGAAGTTTATAATCGATTGTTGGTTTGATGGATCGATATATTGTACTGATTTTTCGTTTGACTTTTGTTGATTATGTATCTTCGGTTTTCTCGGTGAGTGATGGTGATGATGATGATGACGATCACGATGCTCATGATGACGACGATCGCGATGCTCAGGATGACGACGATCACGATGCTCATGATGCTGATGATTCTAATAAAGACAATATTGAAGATTTATCAATTCACAGCTTCAATGCATATGTCAATAGACACATCTTTTTCAAGAATATACTATAAGGAATTGAATTCTTTATACGCACCTGATAGTGATCTTGTCTGTTATATGTATCATAATCATGGAATGTAGGCAAATTGTCAGCATATTGTAGTTCAAAATTATTCCAATCCTCGGTATTTATGTTTATTTTGTTGCTCGTATACCAATGCTCGTTTGATAATTGCTTAGATGACATACTCATTATTTTTATGTCCACTCGAGTATACATGCCTCTGTTATTTTATAACTACTTCATTTTCGTTTGCTACGCTTCAATAACTGCCACGCTACATAAACATGTTTATCGTTTATGTAAAATGTAAATTGTCATAATTAACGACAACAACATGTTCATTAGGTGAAGCGTTCTTTTGCGCATTCACAATTGCATGAAAAATATTTATAATTTGATAATTGTAATTATACAAAATAAAGGGTGTGAAATGTGAATGCGAATGTGAGTGTGGGTGACGCTGAGAGTGTGGACATGAGTGTGAGTAGGTGTGTGTAGGGTATGGGTGTGGATGGTGGGTGGGTGTTGGGGTGTGGGTGTGGATGGTGGGTGGGTGTTGGGGTGTGGGTGTGGATGGTGGGTGGGTGTTGGGGTATGGGGTGTGGATGTGAATGAATGTGTGACTGTGGTTTTGGTGTGCTCTGAATCAACACTAACACCAACACTCACACTCACATCCATCCCCCACACCCACACTCACATCCATTCCCCACACCCATACTCACACCCATTCCCCACACTAATACTCATCCCCCGCATCCACACCCACACTTATACCCATCCCCCACACCCATACTCACACCCATCCCCCACACCCATACTTACACCCATCCCACATCCACCCACGTCCCACGCCCCACACCCACACTCACCCTCACCAATGAGGAAACGTGTTGTTCTTTTTGATATCGCTAAGCTAAGGTTATGACTTATATAAACAAATTTTATACCAGCTTGTAAAGGTAATCAACCACTAACCAGTTGTAAGTCAGAGAGAAGTTTATCTTAACGTGTATGTACAATCCACTTTATTATTGCGAGCGGAGGGGTATATATATACATGGGTTCGGAACAACAGGAACGTGTTAGAAGTTCCAGAACTCACACGAGAGTACCACTGAGAACATACAAGAACAATAGAGAGAAACGGATACGCTGGAACATACTGGAACAGTGAACATATATCTATTCACGCATAACGACAAAACGAAAGAATATATAGATGAAACATATACATATATATGATGACGTCACAACGATGACAGGAAGAAAAAGATAACACCTGAGAGCTGACGCCATCTAACAAACTTGTATACTGTAAGTAAAAAGAAAGAACCTTTCGAATATTTATCGAATGTTTTCCATGGAAGAATATCAGATCGATTATGTATCAAATTCATTACAGGAAAATCTTGTACCACAACCTTTAGTACAACTAGTAAAAAGTTCTAATTCTGTTTCATTAAAAAACAATTCAAAATCTACAACTGCTTCATCATCAACTATCACAGTAACTAAACGTTTCTTGTCAAAATTCAAAAAAGAATGGGGTGTGGGTGAAGGAGAGAGAACCCCCCACACCGACAACCCACACACACACACTCACACCCACCACATCCACATAAGAAGATGTCAATTACAAAGACGATAAATGATAGATGTATATATATTCGTTCTTACTTTTCCAGTTCTCCTTGCCATGCATGATTTCGTGGAGGGAGAGGGACGGATGAACCGTTTCTGCTTGAAAGGGAACGCTTTTCCAATCGATTGGCCCTGTCGTCCACTGCTGACATGCCCACACCCATACCATCATCTTTAATAAAAGTGCATCTAATTAATGGGATATGTTCGAATCATATAGATCTAGGTTTAGATCCGGATACAATTGTTAGTGGTACGAATTACTAGCGAATTATTCGTTTCTTTCAAAATGGTGGTGCAACTAGTGGAAACGGCGGTTGTATCTCTTCGATACAGATCGTGTATAAATCGTTGTCTGAGATTATTTTATCGAGTACTCTGAAATGAAAGCCAGGCAGCAG